GGATAAATTTCCAATTCCGGTGATAGAGGAGTTGTTGGATGAATTGTGTGGTGCCACCATTTTCACCAAGTTAGATTTGAAGTCGGGTTATCACCAAATCCGCATGAGTGACGAGGATGTACCTAAAACGGCTTTTCGGACTCCGGAGGGACACTATGAATTCCTAGTTATGCCGTTCGGGCTGACAAATGCACCGGCGACTTTTCAATCCTTGATGAACGAGGTACTTAAGCCGTTCTTACGCCGATTTGTTTTGGTCTTCTTTGATGATATTTTGATTTACAGTCGCTCGTGGGAGGACCATATGGAGCACTTGGACAGGGTTATGTCGATTTTACGGGCCAACCAATTGTATGTCAACAGAAAAAAATGCCTTTTTGCACAGGAACAATTGGAGTATTTGGGTCATGTGGTTTCCCGGACGGGAGTAGCCGCGGATTCCAGTAAGATACAGGCCATGTTGGATTTTCTGGCCCCACGGACCATTAAGGAGTTGCGGGGGTTCTTGGGTCTCACAGGTTACTACCGAAGGTTTGTGGCTGGGTATGGGCGAATTGCGTGGCCGTTGACGCAGCAACTTAAGAAGGATGCTTTTGCTTGGAATTCAGAGGCGGAGGAGGCGTTTCAATGCTTAAAAAAGGCTATGACTGAGATTCCGGTTTTGGCTTTGCTAGATTTCTCACAACCTTTTGTAGTGGAATCGGACGCCTCAGGGTTTGGGATAGGAGCGGTCTTGATGCAACAGCAGCGGCCCATCGCTTATTTTAGCCAAGTTCTCTCGGCGCGTGCTCGCGCCAAATCGGTCTATGAGCGGGAATTAATGGCCATTGTGCTAGCCATTCAGAAATGGCGTCCTTATTTGTTGGTAAGGCGTTTTTTGGTGTGCACCGATCAAAAAAGTTTGAAGTTCTTGTTAGAACAGCGCTTAGTGAGTATGGAGCATCAGCGGTGGCTGTGCAAATTGCTTGGCTATGATTTTGAGATACAGTACAAACCAGAGCCGGAAAACAGGGTGGCTGACGCCCTTTCAAGACAACAGGCGGGGCTGGTTTTGATGGTCATGACTACTCCAATCGATACGGAGGAGTTGCAGCGGCAGGTTAAGGCGGATCCGGAGCTCAACAAGACTATAGAGGGGCTGTTGGATGGAACGCATTCGTCGACGGGATTTACTCTTCAACGCGGGCATCTACTTTACAAAGGAAGGCTGGTCGTTCCACCGAAATCTCCGCTAATTCCGATCTTGTTGCGGGAGTTTCATAGTAGTAAAATCGGCGGCCATTCAGGGGTCTTAAAGACGTACAAACGGCTGGCTTTGGAATTTTTCTGGAGAAGAATGCGCAAGGATGTTGAGTCTTTTGTGGCTGCTTGTGCCGTTTGCTAGCAACATAAGACATCCACTTTGTCTCCGGCAGGATTGTTGCAACCTTTGCCTATACCAAACCGGGTTTGGGATGATATCTCCATGGACTTTATCGAGGGGTTACCAAGGTCGGCAGGTTATAATTCTATTTTGGTTGTCGTTGATCGCCTCAGTAAGTACGGCCATTTCATTGGCTTAAAACACCCGTTTTCTGCCACTACAGTGGCTGCTGTTTTTGTCCGTGACATTGTGCGCTTGCATGGGTTTCCACAGAGCATCATCTCCGACCGGGACAAGGTTTTTATGACCCATTTTTGGAAGGAACTTTTCAGGCTGCAGGGCACTACCTTGTGTCGCAGTACGGCGTATCATCCGCAAACGGATGGCCAGACGGAGGTCGTAAACCGATGCTTGGAGGCTTATTTACGTTGCTTTGTCTCTGGCCAACCACGACAGTGGTTTACACATCTTTCGTGGGCGGAGTATTGGTACAATACAAGTTTCCACGTGTCGGCTGCCATGACACCATTCAAGGCTCTCTATGGGCGAGATCCACCACAATTGGTGCCTTATGAGATCAGTTCTACGGCCACTTAGGAGTTGGAGAGGCAGCTATGCGATCGTGATGCCCTATTGACGGAACTGAAGGACCATTTGGGACGCGCCCAACAGTCTATGCGAGACCATGCAAATCAGAAGCGTCGTTTCGTGGAGTTTGAGGTAGGGGACATGGTTTACTTGAAGCTTCAGCCGTATCGCCACCGAGCATTGGCGAGAGTGAGGAATGAAAAGCTTGGCCCTCGCTATTATGGGCCGTTTCAGGTCTTGGCTTGAGTTGGACCAGTGGCATACCGGTTGCTCTTGCCTTCTCACGCTCGGATTCATTCCGTCTTTCATGTGTCCCGCTTGAAGAAGGCACTTGGGCCGATGGATGTACCCCAGACTTTGCCTCCAATGTTATCGGATGATTTGACGATGCAGGTGGAACCCGCTCAAGTCTTGGATACTAATTTTTCGCCTGCCACGGGGTCCTTGGAGGTTTTAATCTAGTGGCGCCACCTTCCGGACTTTGAATCTTCGTGGGAGCCGTTTGAGGTGATTCAGCGCCAGTTTCCAGCTTTCCACCTTGAGGACAAGGTGACGTTTTTAAGGGGGGGTGTAATTGATAAGCCCTTACTCAGGCAAGTGTTTGTTAGGAGGAATAAAAGAGTTTAGGAAGGGACAGCTGTCTTAAGTGGCTGTGGTAGTTTGGTGTTAGTAGTTTAGTGGAAATATTAGTTTAGCTTACGGGGGGAGTTTGGGGAGTGAGGAGAGGAAACTGTATAAAAGGGGAAAGAGGAGGGAAAAGCGGTTATCGGGGATTAAACAGAAAGTGAACAAGTCTTGGAACAATTCCAAGCAAGGGGAGGAAGCAGACTCTCGAAGTTCTGCCGATCTGTGTATAATCATTGTTTCAATATTATCCTTCGTTGATTCTTTCTCATTCTTTCGAATTGTGCAATTAGTTTCTTTAGTTCTTGACCGGATAAAACAGAGCTTATCAGAAGCCTCTCCGGTGGAGTTTGCAGCCCTGTCCATCTCTCACCAGTTTAACATGACGGACCTCCGACAGGAGCAACTCACAGACCCTGGTTGTCTTGTCATCATCCGCAACTTGAACCAGGGACGTCCAGCAAGTGAGGGTTATGATCTCCGCAATGGTTTACTGTGGTTTCGGAACAGGTTAGTGTTGCCTCCTTCTTGGATACCCCAAGTGTTACATGATTTTCACAGTTCGGTCTTAGGGGGGCACTCTGGGTTTTTACGCACCTATAAATGAATCTCGGCAAATTTTTTCTGGAAAGGCATGAAGCAAGTGATCAGGGATTACGTATCCAGTTGTGAGAAGGGTTAGCAATCCAAAACTGAAGCACTCTCGCCGGCCGGTCTTTTACAACCCCTTCCGATACCTCAGCAAATTTGGGAGGATATGGCTATGGATTTTATTGGCGGACTTCCGAAATCGAAGGGCGCGGACACGGTCTTGGTAGTAGTGGACCGCCTCTCCAAATACGCGCACTTCTGCCCCCTAGCGCACCCTTACACGGCAAAGCAGGTGGCTTCGTTATATGTTCGCGAAGTAGTCCGCTTGCACGGTTTTCCCCGCTCGATTGTTAGCGATCGCGACTCGATCTTTCATGAGTTTATTTTGGCGTGAACTATTCAAGTTGCAGGGCACTAAACTTCAGCCGAGCACTGCGTACTATCCGCAAACGGATGGCCAGTCCGAAGTAACCAACCGTTGTTTGGAGACCTATCTCCGCTGTTTTGCGAGTGACAAGCCGAGGTCTTGGCTTCTATTCCTGCCATGGGCAGAATATTGGTTCAATACCTCCTATAATGCATCCATCAAATGTTCTCCTTTTCGCGCAGTTTATGGGCGTGACCCCCCCACTCTCCATCGTTTTCAAGAGGATTCTACGGCCGTCCATGAGGTTGCCACACAGCTACAGGAGCGCAATCAGATGTTAGATGTCCTTAAAGAAAACCTCCGCTTGGCACAGCAACACATGAAACTATTTGTAGACCGACGCTGCAGGGAGGTATAGTTTGCTCCTGGCGATTTGGTTTTGCTGAGACTCCGCCCTTATTTCATGAAGTCCCTCGCTCGGAAGGTTTAACGAGAAGCTCAGTCCTCGTTTCTACGGACCATTCGCAGTTTTGGAGAAACTTGGTCCGGTTGCTTATCGCTTAGGTTTGCCGGCTACTGCCAAAATCCATCCCGTATTTCACGTATCCCAGCTTAAGCGCTTTCATGGACAGCATTTCCAGGGTCAACCACCCTCAGCAATTGTCAGCCGAGCTGGAGTTAGTTGTCACGCCGGCCACAGTGCTGGATTCACGTACTATCCTGGTTAGGGGGCGCCATGTTCAGGAAGTTCTCGTTCTTTGGGAAGGCCTACCGACGTGGGATACTACTTGGGAGCCTGTGTCTGTGATCAGGGAACAATTCCCAGATTTCAACCTTGAGGACAAGGTTGCACTCGAGGAAGGGAAATGTTAGGTCTCCTCCCATTAAGTTTGTGTATGCGAGAAGGAGGAAGGATGACAAGCAAGGGCAGGGCAGTAATTGTTGTGAGAATTAGTCTTGGGAAGGCAATTCGGTTAGGATTTTGTGTCTCGAGATTAGGGAAGGGGAGGGGAATATGTGTCGTTTAGTAGTAGTGGCTGGTTAGGGGTACAGGGGATAAATAGCCTGAGGGTTAGTGTAGAAGGCATCGTGAATTTTCGTTGTAACAGAATCAGACTTGGAGGCTAGAGGGTCCTCGAATTCTCCTCACTATCTGTAATTTCTTTTCATGTAATTTCCTTTCGTTTATTCCAGTTAATGAGAAAGTAGACCCTAAGAGGCATTTCTTTCGTTCCAAACCTCGTTCTCATTACGTTCACAGCTAGATTTATTAGTAGAGTTCCTAGGATCCTAACAGATTCTTACGAAAAAGGTACAAGATTCCCATTTTTTTGGGGCTGGAATGTAGTAGATTCTTATGTATTTAACAAGTATAACCCAAGAATAAGTCTGTTGTAACAATTAGTGCACTAATGAAAATAAAAGCATACGCATAGATCAACACATGTTAAAGGGTATAGATCATACCTTAGAAGAGCCCTTCACACTACCAGTTCCTTTGCTAGAACTAGCTTGGGAAACCTTGTTACTTGCCCTCACTAACTGAGTCAAATTCTTTATTGTTGCAGACACAGCAATGGCACTAATAAGACAAACAGCCGGTGTAGCGACAAGAATTAACCGGACCATGACACCAGCAAAATACATGCTCGTCAGGCCATACATCACTATAAATATCGTGGCATCCGACAACCGCTTGAAACAGAAATAAAGACCTGCTGGGAAAAGGAAGAGAAGTACGTGGAAGTCAAACATGAAAGAGGACCAAGCTGTTGGTTGATGCTCAGAGACTGACGCAATAATCGGAATGTGATCCTTTGCATACGTCGGATCAAGCAAAGAATAAAATCTTCCTGTCCATGGAGAGATATACCCAGAGGCCATTCCAACACCCAAAGCAACAGCGCCAACACCAACAGCGGAGGTAACAGTTACCCTCAAAAAGGCTTGAAACAGTTTTGTGTCACTTAACAGGTGCTTGACCCAGTCTAAAAAGTTAAAAACCTGAACAAATCATCGCAAGTTAGCGGAATAAAAAAGAATTAATATTGAATCTTTAGTATAAGCTAAAATGAATACACAGTAATAAAGATTTTGTGCAATCTGTGTTAACGTATTACTAGTAAGTACGTGATGCATACTTGAAAGGAAGATGAAATAAATAGAAAAAAAATTTACATCGGCTTAAAGGTTCAAAAACACTCCCATATTGGAGATGGAAGAAAGAATAAACACCACTTGAAGAGTTATGAAACAAACTAAATAAGACGCCCAACAAGCATTAAGTAGAATTTTTCAGGAAATCCTAATAAACAAGTAACAATATAATCTCAAAAGTACTAAAACCCCACTTTTTTCGTTTTTCCAAAGTTCTTGTATCGTTTAGTACATAAATATATATTTTTTAGCACAAGGGTTTCTAACATGCTTGAAAGCGACAAAATTGAAGATATAACCAGAAATGTCGTTAAGATTAAGCCGGGTTGGATTAACATGTTCAATGGTTTAAGAGGGAATATAGCTTAGTCATACAAAAACTAATTCAGAATAAGAAAATAATGAAACCTGAAGCAAGAAGAAGACACCCATGGCAGCCATATGCTCCCCAGACTGCACATGTTGGAAACCCACGAATCGTATCTGCATAGCTAGTAACATACCCAACACGTACATGCAATTATAAGCGACATACAACCTCATCGAATATCTTCCCGTTACCAAAAGCACCAACACGTAAAGCGGAATCAAATTTATTATAAACACATAACCACCCCATGCGGAGACCATGTAAAAGTAGCCAAAAGCCGAGGCAAGAGCCCAAGCAAGAGACCCTGTATTCACAGCCTTCACAAACAAGTAGAAAGTGAGGAGCAGAGCGAATATCGCCACACCCTCATTGTCATACGACCCCGCCACCGAGCGTGAGATATAACCGGGGCAGATTGCGATCAATGCAGCAGCAACAAGTCCGGCACCAGAGTCCCAAATCTCTTTACCAAAGAAGTACGCCACCAAGGTCGTATTGGACGCGAAGAATGGTGCCGTCAGAACACATACCTCGCGTATGTGGACAGCGAAGCGCAGGAATCGCAGGCCCCAATAGATGATGGCCGCAGTGACCATGAGGCCCGGGTAGAGTGTTCCGCCGATGATCCGACCGAGAGGGTACCTATAATCAGTATTATAACCGGAAAACATTTAATGATAATTTTGGTATCCCATACAAAATTTATGCTCTTCCGGTTCCCAAAATGGATAATAAGAAAGCCATTTAATAACAATAATAATAATACTGACCCTTTACCAAATACCAAAGTTTCCAGTTAAAATCCAATATATTGTAAATCAATGATACATAATTATAAAATTCAAGAATAAACCCAACACTTTGGGCATTTTGAATTGGTAACCTTAAGTTTCTTCTAGCACGTCGAATTATAAACATAAATGAACAATATGAACGGAACATGTAAAAAAAGGGATAAAATATGGACGCTTTACAAAAGAAAGATTCAAAACGTTTACTCATGAAATCCCTCCATAAACATATAATTGAAAAAAAAAAAATCAAATCAAAGGATAAATATCGTACCAGCTCTCGGAGTCAAACCAGTTCCAGAACTCGTAGAAACCCTTCTGGGTCAAGAAGAGGGTCGTACGGTAGTTAAAGTAGGGATCGAACTCGTGGATCATGGACTCATAGCGGAGAACGCTGAAGAGACGAGTGATGAAAGCCAAGACGTACACCAGAAATAGGATGGACACGCGGATCAGAAGTTCCTGCTGCTTCGTCTTCAGCTTCAGCTTCATTTTCATCGTCTTCGTCACCAGATCCAACGGCTGCTGGTGGCCGTTTACCACCGCATCGGGCTTTGTGCCGGCCATGAAATGCGACCGATCGATCGTTCGATTGAATGATTGATTGATGAGTTTTGGGGATCTCTTTTGTTTTTCCGTAACTTAGAATAGGAGTTTATTTTCCATGAATTCTAAAACCATAAACCAATATTATGTGAGGAAGTAGTATAGACTATAATACTAATCTTAAGAGTAGAGTAGAGGAAGAAGGAAGCGAGTAGCAAACGTATATCATTTATCCCCAAATGTCGATGTCAAATTGTCAATCTTACCAATTTTCCATTACCAACCCCATTCACAAGGAAGAGGAGTCCTATCCCAAAAACATCCCCTGTTTTGTCTAAATACACTTTTGACCCCATTATTATTATTATTATTATTATTATTAGGCGAATCAAATGTACTAAAATCACACAAAATACCCTAAAGAAAAAAAATTTCAACAAAATGGCCCTTCATTTTTTGGAAATAAAATTACCTTTTTTAGTCAATACTAAGCGTTATTTTAAATATGATTTAACTAAAATAATGAATAAAAAATTAAAGTGTTTAATTAAAATAACCCAATATAGAAGTTACCTGATTAAAATAGTAATGTAGTAGCTTTCCTATATTAAATAAAATCAAAAACAATAATTCAACCAATTTATTTTGAATTTATTTAACAATTAATTCAATCAATAAATTACTCATGAATTCATTACTTATCTCACTTTTGACTTAAAACATTTAGCGAAAATAACATAAGTTATCGATATGCAGAAAATATGTCGTATTGTTACAAGAAAGTATATGAGCTAGCAAATGAACCCGATGGACATATATAGATTAAGCTCCTATAATCACAAAAATACTTATTCACAAATAAGTTCATCACATGAATATAATCTCTAGTGTTATTCCACTACAATATATATTATACTACAAAATACATTCATTCTATAAACTCTAGTTCATCACATGTATTTTATTCTTTGTGTTTAGGGTTTTGAGTTTGGGGTCTACAGTTTTGGGGATTTGGGATTTTGGGATTGGGGTTTTGAGGTTTGGGGTTTTACGTTTTTAGGGTTTTAGGTTTGGGGGTCTTCGGGTTTGGGGTTCGGTGTTTGGGATTTGGGGGTTTAGGGTTTCAAGGTTTTAGGGTTTGGGGGTCAGGCATTTGGGGGTTCGAGGTTTAGAGGCTCGGGGTTTAGGGTTTAGGGTTCAGAGGCTTGGGGTTCGGGGTCTCGTTCGGTTTATGGTTTAGGGTTTAGGTTAGGGTTTGCATTTGGGTTAGGGGTCTGGCGTTTTTGGTTTAGGGTTTAGGGTTTAGGGTTTGGGGTTTAGGGCTTAGGGTTTAGGGTTTAGGGTTTAGGGTTTGGGGTATAGGGTTTGGGGTATAGGGGTTAGGGTTTAAGGTTTTGGGTTTGGGGTTTAGGGTTTAGGGTTTGGGGTATAGGGTTTAGGGTTTAGGGTTTAGGGTTTTGGGTTTGGGGTATAGGGTTTAGGGGTTAGGGTTTAGGGTTTGGGGTTTGGGGTTTGGGGTTTGGGGTTTGGGGTTTGGGGTTTGGGGTTTGGGGTTTGGGGTTTGG